AGTGGTAAGGAGGCTCTGCATCCAGTCTCGCTTTTCCTTGTTCTTCAGGACATGGTGCGTCGGGGAGAGATCATCGATGATGACACGGAGGATGAGTTCTACCTCCGTCGCCTAGACGCTGGCCTCTTCGTGCTCCAGCTCATCTGTTACATCATGGCAGAGATCTGCAGTGCCAGCGTCCCCCAGGTAAATGCAGCCCCTGCGTCTGTGGGGTGGCAGGAGATGTTCTCTGTGTCTAAGGCACATGCAACCCAGCTCCGATGCTCCCTGATAGCTGGCTCTGGCTGGAGCTCCAGCTTGGACCATGCAGATGCCCCTCCCCACCCCTTGTGGGCGCAGACATGGAGGGCGACGGGCTTCCTGCATGCACAGTGTTTGCAGCCCTGTGGGGTGAGCCTTTCTGCGCTAGCCTGGCCCTGCGCTGAGGGAAGTGGGCTAAGGGCTGTGCTGCCTATCACGGCATGCTTCTTTCTCTCCTCTTCCTCACTCAGATCCGCCAGAGAGTCCACCAGATCCTGAACATGAGAGGCAGCTCCATCAAGATTGTTTGGCACATCTTGAAGGGTGAGTGTTCACTTTTCCACTGGCATCCTGCACATCTGGTCTGGATGCACAGGCCACCCCTCCAGGGGACAGGTCGAGGAGACAGCGTGGCTGTCACGGGACAGACCGGTGCGCTCTGCATCCTTGGAGCAGCTGAGAGCTCGGGGGTGCCAGGGCTGGGCACAGTCCCCCACCACCACCCTGCGAGTGCTGCTCTTCCCCTCCCAGTCAGGAGTGTCTTCGGTGTCCACAGAAATCCAGGCAGCTCTGCTGTGGGTGTCTGCCGTGGTAACACGGCCCCCTGCAAGCCTTGCCGAGTCCTGTCTTCCCCTAGCAGGCCCAGCACCTCCTTGCCTGTCGCACACTAGCGTAGCGGCCTGTTCTCAGTGTCACATGAATATGGATGGTGACGCGGCGGCCTCCCTGCTAGCTGTGGCATGCAGCTGTGGGGAGTTGCCATCCCAGCACCTGCGTTGTTTCCGATGTTCGTGTTAAACGACAGCGGTGCCTCCCTGGGCTCTGCCTCCTGCCACGCGCCTGTGAGGAGTTCTGGTGAAACCTGGGTGTGGGGGTCACAGACTGGGCACCAGAGCCAGCTGGGGGCTTGCCCCAGTGCCTGTTTCCAGGGTGGGGTGAGCAAATCCAGAGCGTTGGCTTTGGTCCTGCTGCGAGGGGGAGGATTCTTTGACCCGCTGGTCCTGAGGGTGCGGTGCCACCCCCCAAGGTGACTTGGGGACGAGGCCGAGGTATCGGGGAGCTCGAGCACTGCTCCTCCGGTCACAACCTGGCTGCAGTGTCCGGTGCCCCCCATTCATCAACTGGTTTGCTGCCTGCAGGGGCTGAGGGCTGTTCCAGCCCCTCCATTTATTTTTGCTTTGCACTCCGTGTGCTGCTCCTGTTTCGTTTTTATTTTCTATTTTTGCATACTAATTAGAAGCCTGCTTTTTAGTTTGATTTTATGGCCTACATATTCTCCCTGTTTCTCTGGCAGCCTGACAGCTGATGGGTCCCTCAGGATTGCCGAGAATTGCTTATCATGCAAGAGAGGCAGGAGGACTTTGTTCCTAAGGTGGTGTCGGGGGTGGGCAGGGAATAACCACTGGCTCACTGGAGCAGGTCGGAGCCCACTGGCCAGTAGGAAGGGGCAGTGTCCCACCCAAGGCCTGGGTGGAGAGTCGGGCCCAGGGGGCAGCACCCAGGCTTCATCTCTCCGCTCCATAGAGGAAGAGGAGCAGAAAGCCTAGAAGCAGGGATGCTTGCTGTGATGGGAGGAAGACGAGCTGATGGGGGTCTGCCCAGAGGGCCGAGCTGTCTTATTCATCCCAGGCTTAGTCCCGAACAAGAGCACCCTTTGGGGCTGGCCCAGGAGTGGGGCCAGAGAGGAAGGCAGCTGGTCTTACAGTGAGAGGTGAGAGGCACCTGGAGTGGGGAAATGCACCAGGGGCTTCACCCCAGGCCTCTGCTGCACTTGAAGAATGCTCCCAAAGCAGCACAACTTCAGCCATGTTGTCCGTGTGCGGACACACGTGTGTGTGTTCCTCCGCCCAGGTGCTCAGCTCCCAGTATCCTCCTGCAGACTGGGGAGCATCTCCCCAGTGGCCCTGACTGTGCTGTACCCACTGTGCTGTGTGTGGTGCGGCAGAAGCTGGGCTGAGGCCCCGGCAGCACTGGGAGGGCCGGTCTGGAGGCAGCGCGCGCTGGCTGCCGGCTGTCACGCCGACGCTGCGGCCCTGTAAACACAAGGCAGCTTCCAAGTGGGTAATTAAGAAAGAAAAAAGGCTCAGGTCTAGCGCTCCTGTCTGCTCTTTTCAGCGTAATGTCAGCAGCTGCTGGTAACCTCGTAAACATTTTGCCAGCCAGTCCTTGTAAAGCTTAGTCTCGTGGAACCGATGCCGAGGAGGAAAAGCGTGGAGCTTCCTGGCAAAAGCGGGAGACGGGTGACCTGCTCCCATGCAACGGGTCTCTCCCAAGCCGCAGAGGGGCCCAGCTGCTGGGGACCACCGTCACCATGGCACTGCTTGAGGCAAACTCCGCGAACGTTCAAACGGTCCTTCAGGCAAATATCCCAGCTGAGCCCTGGCCACCTCCAAGGCTTCAGCATTCGTGGAGAAGCACCTCCAGCTTTCTGCTGGATCTGGGCCCCTGACGCTGTGCTGCCCTGGTCACGCTCAAGGTTTTGAACAGCCAGGGTGCAGCGGCCTGGGGAGAAGTCACGCTGGGGCTGTAAGTCAGCAGAGGCAGCTGGGTTGTTGGAGCTGCTTCCAAGGCCCCTGCATGACCCAGCTCCCCGAGGCACCCTGCCCATGCCTCGCACCAACCTCTGTGACGCGCAGTGCCCAAAACTGCTGGCAGGACTGTGTGGGCAAACCCCTTCCTTGTTGGCATGTCCCTCCCCCCCGCACAACACCCAGACTCCATCTCCTGCGGGGCGAAGTGCTGAGAATGGGGTGGCATGTCCCTCCCCTCCGGGTGATGCAGTGGAGACGGGCTCCAGCCCCCTGCCTGTCTGCCTTGCGCCCTAGCGCCTGCTCCCTCGCAGCCCGGCTTGGCGGCATCACCACCTCGTGCCACGGGGACTGTAGCAGGTTATAAATATTCAGAGTCTCCCTCCCAGAGGCTGTGGTAAAGAGCTCCCCGCTTTGTGTGTGTGAAGAGAGTGCGCGCGGGAGGAGAGGCTCCCCCGGCAGCTAACTTCTCCCTGTCCCCAGCCTTTTCAGCGCGCCTACAATGAAGGCTTTGATGGGGCTCCACAGCATGGAGCAGCGCTGAACACATCAATATTAAAGCAAACTTCCTGCAGCCGCGTTGCCATTCAGCGCCGCCTGAATGCCAGGCGCTCTGTTTGTTTACGGAGAAGGGGAAGGATGAGCAGAGGCGGGGGCTGGAGAGCGCTCCCTTCCCTGGCTGCCGATTCCCGGAGATTTGTTCAGGTCCCTGGTTTGCAGCCCCAGATGTGCCTTTCAGCAGGGTTTTTTTTAACACTCTTTTGAATGTGCAGCTTCCTGTGGCGGTGGAGCTGGGAGGGAGCGAGAGCTGCCTCCGTGTCTGGGCGGCTGGCGGGCTCCATGCCCCAGTGGGAATCCGGGGGCAAGGGCTCTGCCCAGGGTAGGACCAGGAAAAGCTGGTCCCTGGCCAGCCTACAAGCTGTCCGTTCCCTACCCCTGCACCCAGCAGAGACTGCCCAGAAAATGCAGCCCACGCTACCCAGGCCCGTAGAATAGGCAGCCTGCGGGTGACGTGGGAGGGGGCTTTGCTGAGCCCTCCTGCGCTGTGTGCGCCGGGGGCCAGGCTGGCCCGCAGCCTCCAAGTGCCCTGGGCAGTGCTGTGCTTGTTGGCAGGCCCCACGGCTGCCCAGGGTCTTGTTGCTGGGATGGTATAGTGGTACATGTCGGGGGGCCCAGGTGATTGTCCCCAGGAAACATGGGGGGCTCCCACGCTGCACCTCTGCTGACACCCGTTGTGCTGCCGAGGGAGGCGCAGCGTCCCTTTGCATCCCCCAGTGAGGAGGGGGCAGGTGTTCCCGTGCACAGCTGGACTCTCCAGGAGAGTCTGTGCCCATCCCTCGGCCGAGTCCCCAGCAGTAGCTCGCAGCCCAAGCTGGATCCACGTAGGCTGTGGCGGGGCCCTGCCCTGGGAAGGGTTCGTCGTCCATCCTCGTGGCTCAGACCTGTTTTCCCCCTGCAGAGTATGCGGAGAACATTGGGGACGGGAAGAACCAGGAGTTTCGGGAGAGCGAGCAGAAGCGGATCTTGGACCTGCTGGAGAATTTCTGAGGGCCTCGGACCCAGCCTCAGTGCCCTGCCCGGAGGACGCAGCCGGTGTCACCGTGCCCATGCCCAGCCCGCCGGCCCGGAAGTGACTTTTATAGGACACCAGCTCTTGCTGGGGAGGTTCAGATATTAAAGTTAATTTTTGTATTCCTTGGTGGCTTTCTGCAGGGGAGGGAGGGTTGCCATGGCAAGCACTGGGCCGGGCAGCCGAATCCCTCCGCTCTTTCCCTGGCTGCCTGGGCTACATCTCTGGCAACGTCGGGGGCTCGTGATGGCCGGACGATGACTGCAGGCACCGCAGAGGGAGGGTGGTGCTGAGTAACAGCTTCCTTTCCAGGATAACTTGGGGCCTGGCCCGCAATGTGGGGCTGCCCACCAGCACCAAATCCCCTGGGCCGGCAGGGCTCCACGCTCTCTGCCTGCGCCCTCCACCGGCCTCCCCCGGCACGGCCGTTCCAGAGGCTGCCCGCCGGCGGGAAGTGCCAGAAAAGGTTCCTGCTTGGCTCTTTCCTGCCGTTGCTGCCCATCATCCCAAAGCAGCGCGTCGGCAAGATGGGCCTTGCCTCGTTCAGAGAGATTTGAATGCTGGCAGCATTCGTGTTTTATCTCAGAGAAAAATGCGTTGTCAGGGAAGCTTAAAGGCTTCCTTCAATCACGGCTTCCGGCAGCAGAGCTGGGGTGGGTGGACAAGCACCGCTAGGCATGCGGGCCCAGGGAGATATTTGTTCCCCTCATGCGTCACGGGTGCGTTGCCTGCGTCCTGTTGGGGAGGGTTTGGGCTCAGGCCCGGAATCCTTCCCTTTCCGCAAGCGGCCAGCCCGGGCCGTGGGTTCGAGACCTGGGAGGCCGCTTGTCCCTTCTTCACGCAGCTGCAGCAGCACCAGAGACCGGGGCGCAAATGAGGCACCACAAAGGGGAGAAGAAAGAGCACCCAGACATCACAGTAAGCAATCGCCACCTGCGCTCCCTCCCCTCAGCCACCAGACGTGGCAGGGACTTGTCTCCCTTCCCTGGGGCGTCTGGGGGCTGCCAGAGGCAGTGTGGGCACGTGGCGCGGCCCCTGGGCAGGACGAGACCTACCTCCTGGGCCGGCTCCTGTGCCTGTTGCAGGGCCGGGCTCGGTGCTTGCCTGGGCCCCCTGTTAAGTGGGAGGGTTACTTGGATTAATGCACTGGCATTGCTGAGGCTTGCTTGCTCCAGCACCTGCACTCAGCCTCACCACCAAGAGCTTGCTGCCCTGGTGCCGAGCATGCAGGTGCTGGTTGCTGAGCGCCATGCCCCGTTCATCCCAAAGGCTTGGGGCTCAGCAAAGCCAACCCTGCCATGGCCACGGGCGGCAGGGGAGGCCCGGGGCTGGGCCGTGGAGGGCTGCCAGTCCTGGTCAGTGCTGCTGCCCAAGGCTCTCGGGCTCTGCGGGGGTTTGCATCCAAGCCAAGAGCTGCAGCCAGGCGCATCCCAACAGGAGCAGCTCCTGTCGGGTAGGGTAAGACCCAGCAGACTCCAGGAGAAGGCCTGGCAGGATGCGGCCAAGCAGGGCCCTCGTCATGGGCCAGTGAGAGGCTGCACGAGGCTGCGAGGGTGTCTCCTGGCTCTGATCCCCACCCGAGGGGGAGACGGCCCTGCCTGGGTGGGGGACCTGCATCTGCTGCACTGACCGTGGTGGATGTCCACGCAGGCATCTCACGGGTCTCTCCTGCAGCGTCGCTAGGCCCAAGCCTCGCTTGGGAGCGAGGTGCACTGGCAGGGAGGCCTGTAGCCCACGGCACGGCTCCTCTGGCAGGGCTCGTGGGTCCCCTGCCTCTGCCAGGGGATTCGAGGGGCTCCCAGCTCCTGCTGTACCCGGGCAGGCGGCAGCAGGCGCGAGGCAGGGGGCTGGGGCCATGCTGGGAGCCGAGGCTGGCGTGTGGCAGGAGGCGCCGGAGCGTGCGGGGAGAGAGGGACCGAGCTCTGGCATCTCGCACCAGGCCATGTTTTCTTGTCTCTGATTGTAAACAGATTTGACTAAAGAGGTAAATTAGAAGTTAATTAGAGGGAACATGATTGATGAGGCGCTTTGTGGGGAGCGTGAGGCACCGGCCACGTGCTCTTGGGGGCGGGGGGGCCGGGGCTGCTCTCTGGCCCCCGAGTTCCTGCCATGTCACGAGTTTAGCGAGCTCAGGAGGCGAAGAGCAGCACTGAGTGCACCTCGCTTGGGCTCCAGCGCCTGCCCCGAGGACTCTGCCGCCCTGACCGCGCAAGGGAGGAGGACTCCAGGGAGCGCGGCAAGTCTCCAGACAGCCCAGAGCCGCCTTCCTCCCCGCGTGGGGCAGCACGCTCCAAGCCTCGGCCTCCCTGGGGCATCGGCCGTGCCCCCGGCAAGTGCTGGGCTTGCCCCCCATGTCGGTCGTGACCAAGGAATCTCCCCCGACACCTTTGCGCGGGGTCCTGGCAGCGCTGCACAGCGGGTGCCAACGTGGGGCTGCGCCACCTCCGCCGCACCGCTGCGAAGGGGCAGGATCGGGCCTCGGAGCCCCTCTCCCCGAGCCACGGGAGATGAACCCGAGGCAGCTGGTGAGGTCCTTCGTGTTTGGTTTCTGGCACTGGAAGCCACGCTCAGAGCGCGAAGCCATCCTGGGAATGAGCGGCCCACCGTGGAGGCGCCTTTGCTGCCGGGAAATGGACGGTTTAGGTCTCGGTGTTGAGAGACTGCAAATCAACGCGACTCCGTGGCTGCAGCCTTCGTCCATCTCCAGAGGCTTTCCTGGCACGCTTGTATCTCTGCCAGCCTTGCAAAGCCGGCCAGGCTGATCGCAGCTGCAACCATCTATTGTATGACCGAGGACTGCTCCCCGCCAGCCAGGCTGTGTCCAGCCGTGTCTGGGACTCGGAGCATTTTGAGCCTTTCTTTGTGTGCTTGAGGGCAGCTATGGAGGTGGCTCCGATGGGGCTGGGTCTCTCCCAGGCGCTGCTGGCTCCGTGTTTCCAGCTTTTGTGGGCTTGAATGGAGACTGCGCTTCTGCCCATCATCGACCCGGTGAGCGCCGGGTAGGCCGTTGGCCCAGGCCTGGCTCTCCTCTGCACACCCAAGCCCACGGGCCTTTCCACCTTGGCCCAGACCTGCTGCGCACTGCTACCTGTGGCTGCGCAGAGCTTCAGGCTGGACGTGCATGCGGCCGTGCGCCCCAACCTTGTCACGGGCCGGCACAGGTCACCCCGGGCACCTTCCCTCAGCTCCAGACTCCTTTGTGCATGGCTCATGCATTATTGAAGGTCATCTTCCAGGCGGGTGTCCAGCCATGCTGAGAGGTGGATGGGGAGCCCGCAGCTCCTGCGGTACCTTGCTCCAACGGTCTCAGACTCGCCGCTAAACACGGTGCCTCCTTTCCAGCTGGAATCAACTTGGGCAGCGCCCTGCCTAGCCCCTGCCCTTTGCTGTTCCTCTGTAGCCGATCCGCCTCCAGCGCAGCCATGTTTTTGGATTATTTTGCAGTTTCAGGTTCCTTAGAGCAGTGTGTGATGAGGCCGTTTCTCCGCTGACATTTGTACCGTCCTTTCCCAGATCTGCCTTTTGCTTGTGCGTCTCCCCCGGAGCAGCCTGGGCTGTCCTGTGTCCGGGCGTGGATCTGGACACCCCCACTTTTGGGTTTGCTTTTATCCCACTGAAATCCACCCCGCGCCGTCTCCTGCGCGCGCTTGTCGCTGTCAGACTGTGTTTGTGTAACACAGTGTCACATCTGCAGATAGCGCTAATATTGCCCTCCTGTGAGACGCGTGGTCCTTTTGCAAATAATCTAACGCAGGATCCTCAGGCTTCAGAGGTGAAAGGGAAGCTTTTTAAGCAGGGCTCGCCGAGGCTTCAGACACGTATCCGAGCTGCGATGACATTTGTTCTGCCTGTCAAAAAATGAGCAAACCAATCTCCCCGGCTGAGCACGGAGCAGAGGCGGAAACGAGCCTGTCTGGCTCAGAGCAGGTGCCAGGTGGAAAGCCTGTGTCCACCCTCGGGCAGGCTCTCTTTCCCTTGTCCAAATGGCAGCCCTTCTTCACAGGGCAGAAGCTTTATCTTCCCGGGGCCAAGGCTGCTGGTGGGGGAGGATTAGGCCTGCAGGTCGTGTGCACGGCCCGAGCAGGGCTCGCAGAGGGCTGGCTGCCGCAGCAAGGTTGTTCCCAGCACGGAAGCGTGGGGCCTCCGCCTGTGACCCCGCGGTGGGAACAGGCCTGGGAACGTGGCTGAGGATGGAGCTGTGCAGGGAACGACAGTGAAAGGGGCCTGAATGGAAACTGCTGGGGGGCTCAGGCCTGCCTCTGGCAGGCCTCTGTGCAGAGAAGTGGCAGGAGGGTTCGTCCAGGACCAGGCTGGCAGGCGCTCCATGCAGGCGGGTCTGCTGGCACAGCCACGCTGGTGCTCTCCTTGCAAGTTTTTCCAACGCCTGTGCAGGCAAAGCCGCAGTGCAGATGCATCCTGGGGAAAGCGGCAGGGCCGTGGCAGCCTGAGCTGTTCTCTTGCCCCCATCACTAACCAGGCCCTGGTGCCTGCCAGGCACCTCCCTCCAGCAAAACCAGCCTCAGAGAGGCACCTTGGACTGGGCCTGGGCGTGCGAGTCAGAAGCGATGTGCCCAACCAGTTCACCAAACCTTGGGGAACCTGGGCAAAATGGATCTACATGGACTTGTATCAGCCAAGGAGCTGGCCTTGCATGGCTTTGCTGGGATGCCCAGTGCAAGGATCTAGTCCTGGCGGGGCTGGGTGCATGAAGCCTGCTCCTGCTGCTGCTCTTAGCACTTAACTTCACATCCCAGTTTCAGGCCAAGTCAGAAGGGCACGAAGCGTTACCTGCACCAGCCCACGTCTGGAGCAAACAGCAAGTCAATGTCCGTCTTTGCAAGCACCACTCCGTGGCTACTCGAAAGCAAATCCCCGCCAGCTTTGCCCATGCACAGCCTGCAGCTCCACATGCCTCTCATGCAGCTGCCGGGTTTGGTTCAGCTGCATGCAGAAATGACCAGTGGCTCCTTCTGCAGATGCTCCTTTTGGTGAGTCGAGGCACCTGAACATGCAACACTGGAGGGGGTAAAAATCGCTAGCTGAAAGTGGTCAGGTAGGCTTTAGCACTGGGGCCAGGCTGCCAGTTTGTTCCAGTGGGACTGGGCAGGAGCCGTGGTGAAGGGCATAGGTTTGGGGGGAAATGCATGCAGACAAATGGACCGCTGTTGCACGCTGCAGTCACTGATGTCCAGTAGCAGAGCGTTGCAAAGCAGAAGGAAAACCGGGCTCTCCTTTCCCCCGTGCAACCAGCTCTGGCTTTGGCAGCCATGTGACGAAGGTGTTCAGGCAGGTAGGTGTTGGGCCCCGTTCCCGGCACGGGGAAGTTACGGCCGTGGTGACAGATGAAACCTTCCAGCTGTACCCAGATGCAACGATGGTGGGAGTTTCCCCTCTCGTTTTCTGCTAGGCCGCTCACCCTGCTCCGCAGCAGACTTCTTCTCTGTTATCATCGTGCTGGGGAAACAGAAAATCATCTGGAAGCGGAACCGAATTCGGGCACTGCATCTGGAGATGCTTCGGCATTAGGAGAAATGTATGTGCTCTTGGCTTCCTCGTGGCATGATTTAAATGTATTTGATTATACAATAAAAGGTCTTAGCAGGTTTCAGCCATTTAAATGTAATTATGCGACATCAGTATCCAGATCCTGAAGATAGATCGTTAGTAGGGATACCACCCGGGTGTCCGGCAGTGGGGAAGTGGCAGGGACAGAGCATCCAGCTGAGAGTGGTGACGGGACTGGCAGGGAATCCAAGTGCTCAAAGGCCTGGACTAGATGAATGGGCCGAGGCCCTGCTGAGCACGCTGCAGCACTTGCTCTCCAAGTGCATAAGGAAGGACATCTGTATCATGCACCCATTTTACAGATGGGGAAACTGAGGCACCAAGTTTTAACATGGAGGTAAGTGGGCAAGCAA